GACGTCGTCGGATCATTACGTGTTGCAGTTAGAGGGGAGCCTCATGGCATATTAGTGTGTGAGGGATGGCTTGACGAGCTTGGTTCATGTGTGTGGGTATGCCCATGTGAGGTATAGGCCGAAGCCGCATCCCATAGATCCATGTCTCGAGGTACCCTTGCCCAAGCAGTACAGTCCTGTTTCCCCACAATGCTAATTGTCCCCAGTCCCCAAAGTACTCACAGTTCAGGAATCACTTCTCATGTGTTGTGGTGTAACCTCCATGCCTGCATCTTCTGCTTGCATTTGTGGGGCCTATCCTTCAGGACGTGTGTGGCCTGGGCGTCCCTGACATTGCCTCAGTCTAGGTTCCTGTCTTGAAGGTGCCTGTGGGGGGCCAATGGACTGCTGCAGGAACTGCCTGGATAGCCAGTTTGGTACCTGCACTTTGGGAAGCCCTGATGCCCTCTGGAATCAAGGTACGTCTTCTGGGATATGTAATGGTCATGTCCACATTTTCCTGGAGCTCAGTCATCATCTCTATGTGGGACTCCAAGTTGGTAAAGTCAGCCCTGAGTAACGCCACTTCGTCTCTCACCATATAGCCCAGTCGGTCTGCCAAGGACGTGGAGTCTGCCTTGGTAAGAAGCATTGAGATGAGCACCCTTAGTTCCCCCTCCGTGGTGTCTATCTGCTCCGGTGCGGGCAATTCTGGTGGGAAGAACACAGACAGCAAGGAGGCCCTAGAGTTCCATTCTGGGCTTTATGTGGCTGTCGTGGGTTGCGTGGTCAGGGCCCTGGGTGTCATGAGGAAGGACCTGATGGAGGCCTCCGACCTGGACCTCGATGGTCTAAAGGTACCAGGGTGATCTAAAGACCTCTTTGTGTGACCCATGGTTCCTTTTCCTGCAGGGTGTCTAGCTTTTATTTGCGATTTGCAGTGGGGATAACAAGGAACTCTGTATTCAGGCTGTCGTCTTAGTCAGCCGTCAGACTTGCCCCCCCCCACCATTATTGTCATGCCGCCAGACAGCGGTATGGGTCCCGTCTGGCACGTCTCATTGTGGTGGCATTCCCACATTGCAAGGGGACTGCTGCCAAATACTCACCCTGCCTCTAGGTGCCCACCGGTTCCGCTCCTGACCGGCGGGTGCATCTTGTTGTGGCGGCATTCCCACGTGGTAATGGGAATGCCGCCAATCTCGGAACCCCTCTTGTGATGCCTGCTGTCCACTGACAGGCACTCCTCCCGTTACAGAGCGGCTGGGTCTGTAAATATTATAGACGCTGGCCGCTGCAAGTAGGAACCGTTTAAGGTTCTTGCTTAACCCTATGAGTGCCTAACTTTGGAAACGTGTGTGTGTGACGTCACACACATGTTCACTGTCACATGCTCCCCTGCAGCCAACCAAGGAGCACCTTAGGCTATTTAAACCTTTTTCCTTCATTTCTCTGTGCCCTGTCATGGTTTCCATTCTGATTATCTGAGAGCACGTTTCTGGTATTGTTTCTTGTGTAATTTGACTTTTGCTTTCTTACTGACTATTCCGAGCTCTGTATCCCTTGAACTTTGGCTTGGCTCCTGACAATTCTGACTTCTATATTCCATGACCTTTGGCTTACATACCGTTTATGTAATATCTGTATTCTTGACCTCAGCCTGTCTTGTGCTTTTTTTTATATGTTAAATCCAGCCATTCTAAGGCCTGGCAATACGTCTTAATGTTTTCTTTATTTTAAGTTCTGCGTGTTGGGCAAATTAATGTATCCTCACAATTATATTTGGATAAATGTTGTAGACCATACATAAAATGTGTTTTAAAAGGCTATGACACACAGTTTTTTGATTGACACTAGAGCTCAACTGAGTATAACGAGTTTACAACTACATTTGTCCACAACTGAGTATAAAGAGTTTACAACTACATTTGTCCACAACTGAGTATAAAGAGTTTACAACTACATTTGTCCACATGTGCACCTTTATGTACAATTGTGGGATTTGAGAGAGTTGGAAGATCTACAGTAACATGTTCATTTAGGAATACCACCTGTTTAAGAAAATCAGTAAAAAAGCAAAGTCAGTAAAAGCCAAAAATTCAAGAAACCACTGTGTTACTCCACAGATGTGGCCAAAATAGTAAAAAACTAAAAAGTGAGCATTTAGTAATTATAAAAAAAACAGAGTGAGGAAGACAGAAAAATCTATCAGATTAGGAAGAAAGAGGCTAAGCAAGTTATAAGAGCTTCCAAATCACACACAGAAGAGAAAATAGCACAGTCAGTAAAAAAGGGGACAAAACATTTTTTTATATACATATATGAGAAAAGGAAAGTAAAACAAGGATTAGTTAGATTAAAAAACAAAAGAATGAAGGTATGTAGAAGAGGATAAAAGTCAAGCTGCTGCCTCAATTAATATTTTTGTTCAGTATTTACAGATGAAAATGAAGGAAAGGGGCCTTGGTTAGTAAAAAGGAAAAATTAGTCATTTGTTACATGTGGGTTTACATAGGAAGAGGTTCTATTTTAACTGTCAAAAGTAAAGACAAATAAGTCAATGGAACCTGATGGAATACACCCAAAGTTATTAAAAGAGCTTAGTGGTGTACTAGCAAAACCATTTACAGATTTATTTAACCAATCATTGTTAACAGTAGTACCAGAATTTTGGAAGTTAGCAAATGATGTGCCCAGTCACAAGAAAGGTAGTAGGGAGGAGCCAGGCAAGTATAGGCCAGTAAGCCTTACTTCAGTAGTGGGGAAAGTAATGGAAACCATGTTAAAGGATAGGATTGTTAAACATCTAAAATGACATGGATTTCCAGATCAGAGACAACATTTGATTTTATTGATTTTTTTTTTTTATTGGGTAACTAAAATAATAGATCAGGGTGGTGCAGTAGACATTGTTTACCTAGATTTTAGTAAGGCTTTTGATACTGTTGCACATAGAAGGCGTATCAATAAACTGCAATCTTACTAAGCTTGGATTCCAATATTGTTGAATGGATTAGGCATTGGCTGAGTGACAAGCAACAGAGGGTTGTAGTCAGTGGAGTATATTTGAAGCATGGGCTTGTCACCAGTGGGGTACCTTAGGGATCTGTACTTGGACCCATTCTCTTTAATATTTTTATTAGTGATATTGCAGAAGGTCTTGATGGTAAGGTATGTCTTTTTGCTGATGATACTAAGGTATGCAACAGGGTTGATGTTCCAGGAGGGATAGGCCAAATGGCAAATGATTTAGGTAAACTAGAAAAATGGTGGCAACTGACATTTAATGTGGATAAGTGCAAGAGAATGCATCTTGGACGTATAAACCCAAGGGCAGAGTACAGAATATTTGATAGAGTCCTAATCTCAACATCTGAGGAAAGGGATTTAGGGTTGAATATTTCTGATGACTTAAAGGTAGGCAGACAATGTAATAGTGCAGCAGGAAATGCTAGCAGAGTGCTTGGTTGTATAGGGAGAGGTATTAGCAGTAAAAAGATCAATCAGGCTTTCATCCAAACAACTCAACTTCAACTGCTCTCTTAAAAGTTTGCAATGACATCCAAATTGGCATGGAACAAAGAGACTTAACTGGAGCTATTTTCTTTGATTTTGCCAAGGCCTTTGACACAATAGAACAGTGATTGCAAACCTTTTTGAGCCCAAGTGCCCAAACCATAATACATGCCAATTTTTTTTCCTTAAAGTGCCAAAACGGCAATTAAACCTGAATACTGAGGTTTAAGTTTAGAAAAAACAACTCCTACAGTTGTCCGAACTAATTAACATTAGTGATGTACCGAACGGTTCGCTGGCGAATGGTTCCTGGCGAACATAGCATGTTCGCGTTCGCCACGGTGGGCGAACATATGCGCGGTTTGATCCGCCCCCTATTCGTCATCATTGAGTAAACTTTGACCCTGTACCTCACAGTCAGCAGACACATTCCAGCAAATTAGCAGCACACCCTCCCTAGCAGACCCTCCCACCTCCTGGAAGGCATCCATTTTAGATTCATTCTCAAGCTGCATGCTTAGTGAAAGGAGGGAAAGTGTAGCTGCCAGGGGCGGGCTGGGCCGGGGGGCAGGGAGGCAATTGCCCCCCAGGCCGCCCTAAATTCCTGTAAGGCCGGCCGCAGCGGGCCGGCCCTTTAAATACTGCAGCCGCCCAAGCGCTCTGTTAAGAGCGCTCAGGCGACTGCAGCTTCTCCCCTGTAGCGTGGCCGAGCTGCACTCCGGTCCGCGGTGGCCGGCCAGCCGGAGTGATAGGAAGGTGCACGCTCAGTGTGCACCTTCCTGTCAGTCCGACCGGGTACAGGAAACAGAAACTCCTGTTCCGCGCGGAACAGGAGTTTCTGTTTCCTGTAACCGGCCGGACTGACAGGAAGTGCACACTCAGTGTGCACCTTCCTATCACTCCGGCCGGCCACCGCGGACCGGAGTGCAGCTCGGCCACGCTACAGGGGAGGGGGTAAGAAGAGAGGGGGAAGGGGGGGGAGGGGGTAAGAAGAGGGGAGGGAGGGGAATAAGAAGAGGGGAGGGAGGGGAATAAGAAGAGGGGAGGGAGGGAATAAGAAGGGGGGATAAGAAGAGGGGGGGAATAAAAAGAGGGAAGGGGGGAATAAAAAGAGGGGAATAAGAAGAGGGAAGAGGGGGAATAAAAAGAGGGAAGGGGGGAATAAAAAGAGGGAAGGGGGGGAATAAAAAGAGGGAAGGGGGAATAAAAAGAGGGGAGGAGGGGAATAAAAAGAGGGGAGGGGGGTAAGAAGAAGAAGGGGTTAGTAAGAAAAAGATGGAATAAGAAGAGGAGGGAGTAAGAAAAAGAGGGGGAATAAGAAAAGGGGGAGGGGGGAGTAAGAAGGAGGGGAG